CCAGCTCCCTCAGGGATTCTGCAGCCCCTTCCAGCTCCTCAGGGATTCTGCAGCCCCTTCCAGCTCCCTCAGGGATTCTTCAGCCCCTGCCCAGCTCCCTCAGGGATTCTGCAGCCCCTGCCCGGCTCCCTCAGGGATTCTGCAGGCCCTGCCCAGCTCCTCAGGGATTCTGCAGCCCCTGCCCGGCTCCTCAGGGATTCTGCAGCCCCTGCCCAGCTCCCTCAGGGATTCTGCAGCCCCTTCTATCTCCCTCAGGGATTCTGCAGGCCCTGCCCGGCTCCTCAGGGATCCTCCAGCCTCTTCCAGCTCCCTTCCCTTCCCTGGACCCGCTCCAGCCCCTCCATGGCTTTCTTCTTGTGGGGGCCCCAAAAACAGGGAGAGGGTTTGAGATGCACATGATAGAGCCCAGAGTATTTGCCTTCCCCCTGATCGACCCTTTCAGTAAGAACATGATTTAGATCCTATTTTGGCATCGATTCCCATCTTTCCATTAATTGAAAAAGGCTTTGGAGCAGACTCAGAACATGTCTCCCTGCAGGAATGTTCATAACCATAACCAGAAAAAATGTGATTTGGTTCTGGCTCTGGAGCAGGAACATCAAAGGTATCTCATTTCTGAGGGGAAAGGTAAATGTTACTGTGACAACTTGTAGGCAGCATCAAATTTGGTGTGAAACTTTGAATTTCCACAACATTTCTGGGTGGATTTCTGGCATGTCCATGCAAATAGCTGTGGTTTTTTCTTGGCCTGTTATTAATATTGTTATTTCTACACGCAGATAGAACAATTAGGACCCATTTGTTCAGGTCTTCCATTCACTTCCCCCCAGCTCTATGAAAAGCAGAATCAAATGAGAGCTGAATCTCCTTTTTTGTTCATTTTGCAAACCCAAAATGCAGCCAGGGCAGTTCTAGAAACACAAATTTCAAATCCATTTTAGAGGACCTGGCAATGCCCCCTCTGTTTTTGAAACAAGGCCTGAGCTGTGTTGGCAGTGCTGGTTTAGGAGTTGGACTTGCTGATCTCTGAGGGCTTTTCCCACCTCAACAGTTCTGTGATTTTTCCCCACACTTTTTGAGTCCTGCACCTCTTCTGCTGTTATTCCAACAGAAATAACAAAAATCTATCCTGAAGATTCCTGTGCCAGTCCCCTCTGGATGGGCTCTGAGGTTCCAGGCCTGGCCCAGGCTTTTGATCTGGGGTACCAGGACTCTTTTGGAGCCAAATTCTGATTTTCAAGCTTTGTTTCATAATAACTGAGATAGGCTGGAGAATTCCTGACAAAGTTTTTAATTGCCAAAACCTCTCACTGCTGCCTTACTTAAATGGTTGTTCTGTGGCTTTATTATTCTAAATACAAGCAGGGCTGGATCAGGTGAGCAGTAATTGAATTGTTAAGTGCTAATCTGCATATTAAAACCAGAACACTGTGTGGGACTTGCATTCTGCTGGTTTTGCACTGGCTGAAAGAGCCATTTCAGGCCTGTTTTAATCAGCATTGTGCATTCTGCCCCACCAGGACATGCCTAGATGGGAAATGGATTTAATTAGGGTGGCTCCCAAGAAGCTCATTAACCTAATGAGGCTTCACAGTGGGGGCTGCTACTTAATAAGAATAATAATTGCCTTTGACTGGAATAGCTCAGGTGATGAACTGGTGCCCAGGTCTCCCTCTGCCTCGTGCTGCTGCTTTCTTTTCCTTTCTTCAACTGTATCTCACAAGCTGTGAGAGATTTGTTTCATCCAAGTTTGTCAGCCTGCTTGCAGGGAGAGGTGAAACACGGGCTAATTCGAGCACGAGGCTCAGCAAAGCCCAGCCTGAGAAGGTTGGGAAGGGCACTGTGTGAATCCCTGCCTCTCTGGGAACAGGGAAAACGCAATGGGGGTGGTGCTTTAGGCCTCTCCCCTTTCCCAAAGGCTGGAGGAATATTTGGGCTCCCTCTCCTCTCAATTAAAAACCAGATGGCACAACTTAATCTGGAAGGAATGATCAGAGAGGACGTGGGGGGAGCAGGGGACAGCGTGAGCTGAAAGAGGAGAGGGGTTATGCAAAGTGACATCCAGAACCATTTGAACTTTGCCTCTGTCACAATTTGAGTCGAGCCCAAGCTTCAGATCAAGTTCATGTTTAATGAAGTGCATAAAAGAGATCTGTGTGGGCCGCTAAGCACTTGTACAAATCCAGCCTGGAAAACACAGACAAACAAACTGGAGTGACCCTGCAGGGATAATAAAACATTCCCTGTTCTCCCAGGGTCCCCAAGGCAGCCCCAGGCATTCCCAAGTCCCTTGGAAACAGCCAGGGCTCTGGGGATCCTCCAGTCCCCTGGAGCGAGCGCGTTAATCCGGGCGTAATTCCACCCTAAACCCTGGGAATGCTCCTGGGGAATGGCAGAGCAGGGAGGGCTCTGTGTGCCCTGCCTGGGCCACTCGGGAGGGGGATCTGTCCCTGTCCCTGTGCCTGAGACACTCGGGATGGGGATCTGTCCCTGTGCCTGAGACACTCGGGATCTGGGATCTGTCCCTGTGCCTGAGACACTCGGGATTTGGGATCTGTCCCTGTCCCTGTGCCTGAGGCACTCGGGATTTGGGATCTGTCCCTGTGCCTGAGACACTCAGGATTTGGGATCTGTCCCTGTGCCTGAGACACTCGGGATTTGGGATCTGTCCCTGTGCCTGAGACACTCGGGATTTGGGATCTGTCCCTGTCCCTGTCCCTGTGACACTCGGGATTTGGGATCTGTCCCTGTGCCTGAGACACTCGGGATTTGGGATCTGTCCCTGTGCCTGTGCCTGACACACTCGGGATTTGGGATCTGTCCCTGTGCCTGAGACACTCGGGATTTGGGATCTGTCCCTGTGCCTGAGACACTCGGGATTTGGGATCTGTCCCTGTGCCTGAGACACTCGGGATTTGGGATCTGTCCCTGTGCCTGAGACACTCGGGATTTGGGATCTGTCCCTGCCATGGGAAGGGGCACCTCCCATAAGCTTCTTCCATCAGGTGTTTTAGAAATTCCCTTTCCTGTGGATCTGTGTTGGGCCATGGCTTCATTTCAGCACAAGCCAAGGCCACATCAGAGCATTTCACTCTTTCCTGCCCATCAGCAGGCTTGACCTGGCAGGGACTGCTCCTGTGTGCCCTCACAGAACTGTTTCTCCACAAAATAATATTTTCTTTAATATTAATTAAATAAAACAGCATTCAAGGTGGATTTCAGCAAGATAAAAAAGGATGTTTTATTCTTTTTAACACTTTTAGTTAACCCGGGGATGTGTTTGACTCCGTGGGATGTTCATGAGGTTTTTTTTTTTTTCCTTTCTGAACCAGATTACAAGGATTCCAAGGAAAAGAACAAAATGGAAATCCTGTACATCCTGGTGCCCAGTGTCACCATTCCCCTGGCCATAGCCTTGCTGTTCTTCTTCATCTGCATCTGTCGCAACAACCAGAAATCCTCGTCCCCTCCGGTGCAGAGGCAGCCCAAGCACGTCCGGGGGCAGAACGTGGAGATGTCCATGCTCAACGCCTACAAACCAAAGGTAAACCCTCAGCTCTGCTCCCACACCTGCAGCAGGGAGGGAAATGCTTCAAACAGCCCAGCACTGGGGCGTTCAGGGGTTTCCAGCCTGGGATTTGGGTGATTTCTGTGAGGGTTTTCTCAGCAGCAGCAGCAGCAGCGTGTGCTGGACCAAGGGGGGATTCCTGTGTGTCAGTGTCTCTGGAGAAATAAAGGAGTTTTTGTGGGATAAAGCAAGAAAGCCCTCCCTGAAGGATCTCCAAAACACCTCATTGAAGTGAGAGGCAATGCAGGTAAAGATGTGATTCAGCATTTCCTCAGGAGAGCTCTCCATGGCTGTGCTCAGTTCATCTGTCGCCTTTCACTCAGCTCAAATCACCTTGGGAAAGATTTGTTCCTTGGGTTTCCAGGCTTCCCCATTCCCTCAGCTCAAAGCAGAAATGTCCAAAACAGCCTCAAAGCTCTGCCTGCAGCACAGCTCCTGCTGCTGCTGTTTGGCTTCAGCACAGCTCCACAGCCAGGAAGAATTTCAGAATTTTAAAAATCATTTTGATGGAAGTGTGACCAACCTCGTGTTCCTGTTTCCCTGTGGGATGTGCCTGAGGTGCCTCCTGCCATCCACAGGTGCAGGAATGCCCTGGAAAAGCATTTCCTTTGTGTTCCACACCATGCCAATGCTCCTGGTCCTCAGAAGTCCCTTCCAACTCAGGATATTTTATGGTTCTCCAAGAACTTGGTGGGCTTTGCTCATTTGGAACTTGGTGGGCTTTGCTCTTTTAGAGTGAAAACCTGTATCTCAATCCCACACACACTTGGCTGGTGAATTTATCCTCATTTGCCTTGGAAGTTCCCAATTCCAGCTTTCCTGTACAGCTTGGAGTGGGGTAGCAGTAAAAAAAAACATTTAATAAAGTCAGTGTCCAAACTGCATCTTGCATCCAATCTCCTGGAATATTTTATTAAATTTGGGGTTGCCTCTTCTCCCTGTTCTGCTGGGACTTTGGGGCTCAATCCTGAAGATAATGGGAATGCCAGCATCCTTTTATTGAGGATTCAATTCACACCTATCCACAGCACAGGAAAGCAGATATTCCTGGAAATATTTGCAAATATCGACCATTCACTTTCCTTTCAATTTGCATGTGATGTGCTGCAGGAATATCTTCATTTTATTTATGCTAATTTCAATTTTTCCCACTGGGAAAGCCAGCTCTCCCTGTCTCCAGTGTTTTGATTGCCTTTCAAACAATATTTTCAAGGAAAGGAAATGGAATCTTATTTTGAAAATTGATGTCAGCTTTGGGGGGAAACACATTTAAGCTTTGAGCTCCCACTGAGGCAGTTGTTTGCTTGGATAAATAGGAATGTTAGCATTTCGTCCAGTTTTAAGGGGTTTTAATTGCCTTCAAAACCATAATAAATTAGGGACATCTTGTCCTGGAGCTGAAGGAGACGTGGAAGGGGTGGTTTCTCTCTCCCTTTCCCCTGACCTGCTGCCTCTCGTGTATTTTACACTTCCCTACACTTTGGACACCCGTGTGTGACAAATACTTGTCAAACAAAAGCCGAGCAGATTTACAACTGCCCCCCTCCAAATGAGCCCTTCCTGCCAAAACTTTATGACTTCATTTTCTTCCCCCAGTTTTCCACTCTGTTGGTTCAAACAGACGGACCCAGGCTCGGGTCAGACAGAGGTCATTTCACTTTCATTACTAAAATATAATTTACAATATGCCAGACCTAAACAAGTTTTAGCCTAAAGGATTTGGGTAATATAAACCATCTGTTCCTCAACAATATAGCTAATTTCCTGCCATCACTGTGCAGTCTACTGGGCTGCCTGCTTAAATGGCTTTATTATTATTATTATCATCATTATTATGATTATTAATGCAGTGTTTGTATAAAGTCATAAGTGATCAATACAATTAGAATTAATTCATGCAAAAACTGTTTTTTTCTGATTATTTGAAATGTCAGGTTTTTTTCCTACATTGCCACTGGAAAGCTGGCCTTGCATGATTTCAGGAATGCAAATGCCAATGTTTACACTAATTTACAGAACCTAGATCCCAAACTCATTAACCTTAAATTACTACCTGTGGATTTACTGAGGGCCCTAAATGAGTGGGTTTGGGTGTTACAAGCACAAGTGGAAGTTGGGAATAATACAGGTTCTTTATGGGCCAGGAGTGAATATCTGCACACCAAAGGGCAGTAAATGTTTAAAAGGTTTGCCTTTCTCTTTTGAGAAACTCGCTGTCACAGTTTCAGGATGGAACAGAAGCAGACTCTGCTGTGCCTGGAAGGGTTAACAGCAAAGTCAAGGGAAAATTGGCTACAAGGACATGGTTTTTAAAACAAATTCATTTTTTTCCTGCTAAAACTCCAGGCCCTGGCCCAGAAAACACTTCAGCATGGACCTCTTAGAGCATGGGAATTGCCTCAATTCCTGAAATTAGTCACATTCAGTTGGAAGTACAGAAATGCCCAAGGCCAAATGCTGAGATGCTGATGGTTCCTGGGTGTGTTTGGATCCAATTCTTGTTGTAGCTGACCTTGTGGAGAGGATGGAAAGGAATTCTTTTTGTTACCTTTGGGAGCATGGTGATCCCGTTTGGATCCTGGTGATCGATTTGGAGCATGGTGATCCTGTTTGATCCTGGTGATCCCTTTTGGATCCCATTGATCCTGTTTAGATCCTGTTTGGATCCTGGTGATCTCATTTGGATCCTGGTGATCCCGTTCGGATCCTAGTGATCCCATTTGGATCCTGGTGATCCATTTGGGTCCTGGTGATCTCATTTGGATCCTGGTGATCCCTTTTTGGCTCCTGATGATCCTGTTTGATCCTGGTGATCCTGTTTGGATCCCATTGATCCTGTTTAGATCCTGTTTGGGTCCTAGTGATCTCATTTGGATACTGGTGATCCATTTGGATCCCGGCGATCCCTTTTTGCATCCTGGTGATCCATTTGGATCTTAGCGATCCCATTTGGATCCTGATGATCCCGTTTGGATCCTGATGATCCCGTTCGGATCCTGGTGATCCCATTTGGAACCTGGTGATCCCGTTTGGATCCCAGTGTCCCTCAAGCTGTGCCTGCCACCAGTGGGATCACTGCTCCCGTCCACCTCCTTGGCTCCCACACATCCTGCACTGGGAGATTTCACTTTAAAAAGGCCACTTTCAGCCCTGACCCGTTGTTGGTGTTTCTCTCACAGAGCAAAGCCAAGGAGCTGCCCCTCTCCGCCGTGCGCTTCATGGAGGAGCTGGGCGAGTGCGCCTTTGGCAAGATCTACAAGGGCCACCTCTACCTGCCGGGCATGGACCACGCCCAGCTGGTGGCCATCAAGACCCTCAAGGACTTCAACAACCCCCAGCAGTGGGCGGAATTCCAGCAGGAGGCGTCGCTGATGGCCGAGCTGCACCACCCCAACATCGTGTGCCTGCTGGGCTGCGTGACGCAGGAGCAGCCCGTGTGCCTGCTCTTCGAGTACACCAACCAGGGCGACCTGCACGAGTTCCTGGTGATGCGCTCGCCCCACTCGGACGTGGGCTGCAGCAGCGACGAGGATGGCACGGTCAAGTCCAGCCTGGACCACGGGGACTTCCTGCACATCGCCGTGCAGATCGCCGCCGGCATGGAGTACCTGGCCGGGCACTTCTTCGTGCACAAGGACCTGGCCGCCCGCAACATCCTGATCGGGGAGCAGCTCCACGTGAAGATCTCCGACCTGGGGCTCTCCAGGGAGATCTACTCGGCCGATTACTACAGGGTGCAGAACAAGTCGCTGCTGCCCATCCGCTGGATGCCCCCCGAGGCCATCATGTACGGCAAGTTCTCCTCCGACTCCGACATCTGGTCCTTCGGGGTGGTTTTGTGGGAAATATTCAGCTTCGGCCTCCAGCCCTACTACGGGTTCAGCAACCAGGAGGTGATCGAGATGATCCGGAAGCGGCAGCTGCTGCCGTGCTCCGAGGACTGTCCCCCCCGGATGTACAGCCTGATGACGGAGTGCTGGCACGACCTGCCCTCGCGCAGGCCGCGCTTCAAGGAGATCCACGCGCGCCTGCGCTCCTGGGAGGGCCTCTCCAGCCACACCAGCTCCACCACCCCGTCGGGCGGCAACGCCACCACGCAGACCACCTCGCTGAGCGCCAGCCCCGTCAGCAACCTCAGCAACCCGCGCTACCCCAACTACATGTTCCCGGCGCAGGGCATCCCGCAGGGGCAGCTGGCGGGGTTCATGGCGCCGCCGCTGGCGCAGAACCAGCGCTACATCCCCATCAACGGCTTCCCCATCCCGCCGGGCTACGCCGCCTTCCCCGCGCCCCACTTCGCCCCGCCGGCCGCGCCCAGGGTGATCCAGCACTGCCCCCCGCCCAAGAGCCGCTCGCCCAGCAGCGCCAGCGGCTCCACCAGCACGGGCCACGTCACCAGCCTGCCCTCGTCGGGCTCCAACCAGGAGGCCAACATCCCCCTGCTGTCCCACATGGCCATCCCCAGCCACCCCGCGGGCATGGGCATGGCCATGTTTGGCAGCAAGACTCAGAAACCCTACAAAATGGACTCCAAGCAGTCCTCCCTGCTGGGGGACTCGAGCGTGCACGGACCCAACGAGTCGGTGATCTCGGCCGAGTTGTAAATACGCCAGGCCTTTGTACAGAGAACCCTTCGGACGCGGGCTCGGCGGGGGCAGCAGAGATGGGTTTGTTTTTCTGTTCAGATGTTTTATTGAAGGTCCTTTTCTGGCTGTTGGACAGACGTCGCAGCAAAGTGTCTTCTGTGAAGTTTCACTGCTCGCCAGCACGGGCAGGCACAGCCAGACGGATCCTCCTGGTGGGAATCCCCAGCCTTGGCCACGATTCCCCAAGTGCCACCAGCAGCTCAAAGAGGGGCAGGGGGAATCTGAGGGGTTTTTTAAAGTTAAAAACGTTTTATCAATGCTTTTTCACGGCTTTTTGAAGCGTGGTTTGAATCACGGGGACTTTTTTTTAATACTGAAAACCATATTTTAATATTTGTCTCTTTTTTTAGGAGATGCAAAGATTCGGAGATCTGGGTGTGCAATTTCAGTGCCAATAGGGAAAATATTTGTAAATGTTGCGGTCGAGGATTGTGTTTCAAATGTGTGATCTGAGAGCTGAATCAGTTACTTCAGGTGGGATTTTGGTCTTTGGTTTGGTTGGGAGTCTGAGCTCAGATTCGTACCAAAAAATGTCATTTATGTGACAGCACAAGTGCTGGAGTTACCAGCTTGCAGTCTACAAACCTCATCTGCTGCTGGCTGCTGAGGGCAGCTGGAGCTCTTAAGGAATTGCCTTAAAGGAAATGAAATTAAAGGGCTTTAATTTCAGAACCTGAATCAACTTCTTCGAAGATAACGTTTCATGATCTAGTCGCTCAAGCAGGAATTTTTTATCCTTTTGTTGCTATGCAACTGTGTAATGGAAAAGCGCCAAACCACAAGTTTAGAGATGACAATCAGCTTTCCCAGGAATATTTATTGTGTCATTTCAGTGACTCTGACTCCAGTAACCCTGGAAAAAGGGAGGCTCACATTCCATCAGGCAGCAAATCCATCGATAGCAATTGTGTCTAATAATGTGAATTAGTGCTGATTTTCCACTTAGAAATGCACCATTTGTGTCATTAAAAAACCCATTCAGGTAGAACCAATCGAGATTCTTCATTTGAAACCACTTTAATGAGTTACACACGTGCTGTGTACGGTACATTTTCCACAGACTCTTTTTTTGTACTGAATAATATTTTTATTGTCCACAAAAGCCAATCTTTTTGCTCAGTTGACAATGTTGTATAATAGGACTTTATTTTTATCTTTTTTGCACAAAAGTGTGATGATGTTTTTGTACAGCAGAAGTGAAAATACATCTCTGCATTTTATATCTTGGGGCTGTTTCTTTTGATTTTTACCCTGATGTAGATGTTCCTGAAATATATTATGGTGATACTCAGCCACTACCTTATACAAATATCTTTCTTTGTTTTCACTGCATGCGTTTAATCACTGTATTACTTGATGATTGAGTTATTAATTATGGGCATTTCAATTAGGCAAGCATGAGAAAAAAAAAATGTAATAACAAAGGCTATTTTATAACTGAGATATGTGCATTTTTGTATTTCACGTGCCAGAGATGATATTAAACACTGATTATTTTATGCTGCTGTTTATTAAAACATTGTTTTGCCACAAACACGTCGGCATTTCCTCCATCCTGAAGGATCCCTGGCTCCCAGTTTCCAGGGAGGCTGAGCTGCTATCAGCCAAGCATCCTTGGCTTTAATCAGCAAATAGGAATAACCAAATCCTTCAGGAGCAGCAGTGGGATCATAAAATGATCCCTCACACACTTTGTGGTTTTGTGTTCAAACAGCTCGGGCTCAGTTTGAGGTTTCTCCTTTATTTCAAAGCTGGGTCCTTGAGGTCAGGGTATTTTTAGGTATTTTTGGGAGCAGCACACCTGGAAAGCCTTGGGAAGACCTCTCAGCTGGGAAATGTGGGAATTGTGAGGTGAAGTCACAGTCTGGCTCACACCTGGTGCACAGGGAGGCAGAGCCGGTGAGGTCATGAGGAAAATGCATGCTGCCAGAAATGAGGAGCCGCTGCTCAGGTGGGGATGCAGACGTGGGATCAGAGCTGGCTTTGTGGCAAACAAAGGGAGAGGGAATATTCCAGGTGCTAAATCATCATCCTTCCTTCCTCAAGGAGAGAGCAGAGCCAGGGCTGCGGGAAATGCAGCAGCCTTGGCTGGGTGGGAGCTCTGGAGCAGTGGGAATAAAACTCTGGATAAATGGAGTTCACTGAGCCTTCAGCCTGGACAGGCTCAGCCCCCCAGGCTGCTGGTGTTGCTGTGAAAGAGAATAAATATTTGCTGAGGTAAAGACCACTGGGCAGAGCCTGAAATGGGGATTGGGATCCTTTGTTCCCACAGAGGAGAGGCTGGGCTGGAATTCTGCATCCTCTGGATGGAGAGCAAAGGGCCAGAGCTGCCTGTGCAGAAATGAGGGCTGGAAAGCTCAGAACTCAGCAGGGTTTGTGTTTATTCAGGGATCAGGTCAGGAGGGAATCTGTGCTTTGCAGGAACAGGGATTTCCAGGAAGGTTTGGGAATCCCGATCCCATTTCCTTGTCCTGTGGTCTGCGTTCACCAGGAGAGCCCTGACACAGCCCCAGCCCCAGGCTGCCAGGAGAACACTCCAAGCACAAATTCCTGCTGGATCCATGGCTCTGCCCTGCGGGCTCACCTCCCACATCCATTGGCTCCCACCCCTGCACACTCAGCAGGAGGAATTTGGCTTTGGGGCAGGATTCAGCCTCTTTGGGGCGCCTGAGCTTTGGCTCTGCCTCCTCCAAACGGGGTCAGGGATTCAAGGGAGAGGCTTTGGCTCGGGAGGGACCTTCAATCCCATCCCATGGCAGGGACACTCCCACTGTCCCAGGGTGTCCAGCCTGGCCTGGGACACTGCAGGGATCCAGGGGCAGCCACAGCAAATCTGGGAATCCCATCCCAGCCCCTCGCAGGGAACAATTCCTTCCCATTATCCCGTTTGATTTCAGGGATTTGATGGTGCAGCCCAAGCTCCCAGGGGGTTCTGCTGTGAGCACAGGGGTTACAAAAGCAGAGTCCTGAGACATTTGGACAGAGTTGCTCTAAAGAACATTTTCTGCACAAACAACACAATATTTTTTTCAGAACCGCTAGACAAAAAAAGAGTCAATTTTTCATTTGCAGAAAAATTTGACAGCATCTTTCTTGTGTGCTACAATATTTTAACCCGTGTTTCTTTACGAATTCATGGTTCTGTGGTCAGGGGTGGAATGAGCAGCTGGTTCTGCTGCAGAACATCATGGACAAAATGGGAAAATTCCCTTTCCGTGGGCCCGGAGCCTCTCAGAGATGTGATGTCCATGCAATCCAAAAAGCAATTTTTTATCTTGCTGTGGGCTGTCTTGTATAGGAGGAGAGAGAATATTGCCCCCCAGCTGGTCACTCTCCAGCCCATGGTATTTCTGCCTGTTTCATCTCCCCCAGATTAAAGTTCAGCCCAGTGCAGGACAGTTTATATTGCTGAGGTAATAGAAAATTATTAAAAACAGAGAGAGACACAATATTGGGGCTGCACATCAAAAGCTCTTTAAGACAAAGGAGGGAAAATTGACTCGTAACTGGAATTATTGGAAGCATCTGTGATGTCCTTTATTTCCCATTTAACAGTGCAACACATTTGGGAATGGGCTGGTTCTGGGCCCTAATTTGCTGAGTTTTACCCTAAACTCTGTGGTTTATCTGCTCCTGCAGAGGGAACAGCAGCTCTTGTAAATTCATTTTGACCTTGAGACACAAAGGAAGATTCTGCAGTGCCGGACCCTTCAGCTGTGTGGAGGATTTGGGTTCTTTTAATGGAATTTAAAAGCAGAAACCTTTGTTAGATTTAGGAGGAACACGTGGGTTTATGAACCACGAGTGGTGCTGGGAGCAGGATCTGTTGGGGAATATCTCTGTAAATCCAGTGGGGTTGTTGGGCATTTCCAGAGTTTATCCAAAACCCAGTGACATTTTGGAGCATCAGGGACAACAAGGATTCCCAATCCCCCTCAGTGAGTGCTGGCTCCATCCCGAGCTGTGCAAGGCAGAGCCACGGGAGGGGCTCCCATGGAAGGGGCAGTGCTGGAGTCTGGGATTGGGATTTTGGGGTGGCTCCAGGTGGTTGGAGCCATGGGGGAATGGGCAAAACATCCCATCCATGGAAAACAACCCCTTTAATGGGAGCTCAGCTGCCTGTGCTCTGCAATTCCTGCACCTGGGATGGGGCAGCCCCAGCACAAAGAGGTGGAGAGAGAACTGGGAGGAAGATGAGGGTGGGGTGGGTAAGGTCAGGTCCTCTGGGGTCATCAAGTCCAGCTGTCCCACCTGCAGTGCCAGGGCCAGCACTGCCCCATGTCCCCAAATGCCACATCCACAGGGATTTAAAATCCCTCCAGAGATGGGGACTCCAGTGATGCCTCAGGTTTGGGTTCTCTATTTTCACATTCTGCTTTAGTGTGTGGGGCTGGGCTCACATCAGGGATGCTGAGCTCTGTGCACAGAGCAGGAGACAAAACAATTCCTGCTCCAGCTGGGCACCAAGGACAAATGACCCAAATCTCAGCCCAGAGCACAAACCCCGTGGGCTGGAGAGAGAAAAACAAGCAGGGTGGGACTGCCTGGGCTAAAGCTGGGATGGGACAATGAACTGCAAGGTGCAAATGGAGCAGAGCTGATCCCAGGGACAGAGCCCGTGCCCCTCGTGCATTTTGGGGCCATTTTGGTTCATCTTGGGTGCAGCCCTGGCTGGGCTCTGGTGCTGCCCAGGGTGGATCCATGGAGGAGATCCTGTGAATAAATCCCTGCTTTATTCTGGAACTCTGCCCAGCCTGCACAAGGCATCAGCACCACTGTGCCCACGTCTGCCCACCCTTCCTGTAAAGCAAATTTCCAAAATCTCCACCCAGACTCTCCTATGGCCCAAATTTATTTCTTTATTATATAAAGAAATAAATTTCTCCTGTCCCTGTTCCCTGGAGCAGATCCCAAACCCCTCCTGGCAGGAGCTGTGCAGAGCCACAAGGGCCCCCTGAGCCTCCTTTGCTCCAGGCTGAGCTGGAACCTTGGAGAGGAATTTGTGAGTTCCTGAAGAGCCAGAGCAGAGAAGAGGGTAGGAAAGAGCCATGGGAATGAGAATTCCTGGGAATAACAAACCCTGGCGGTGCTGCTGTGTGTCCCTCCAGGATAAGGGCCCAGGGGCACCTTCCAGGTAGGATTTGTTCCATGTTTCTGTTTGTTTTATCAGGGAATTTGTCATCAGCATTTGCTGAAATACAGCAGGGACCTGCAGAGCCATTAAATGCCCGAAAGGCTTGGATAAAGGGAGACATTTTAACAGCTCCTGCCAGGAGAGATTTATTCTGCACAGAAAAACTGGGATTTATCTGGGAAACCAGGCAGACACCCCAGAGACAGAAGGTTTGAGTTGTTTAAAAATACAAGATATGCACAGCAGACAGCCTCTGGTCCCTCTGGTGCCTGGTGACAAAGCTGCTCCATCTGGGAGTCACACAGGGCTGGATGTTTCCCCTCACACCATGGATAGTTTGGGAAGCCATGGATTGGCTTCCTCAGCAGCTCTGGGAAGCAGGAAGAAAATCAGTATTTCACTCGTGAGGTGAGGAAACAGATGGAGATTTGTGTCTTCTCTGGTGGAAAATATTGAGATTTGTTTTCTGTACTGCCTGTGGATGTGAAAACCACTGCTGTAAAAACAATTGCTGTTCAACATTGATGTAAAAACCCACTTTGCTGAGCTGGGGTGAGCAAGGTCTGGGATGATTCCTGTCTGCAGACTTTTACCTTTCACTTTTACCTTTTCTGCCTCTCCTGTTGCCAGCCCTGATCAGGAGCGTGGGGATGAGATTTAAGGTGGGTGATAAAGTGTTTTCATTTGTCTCTGTTATTCCCTGCCCTCTGGTTTTGTTGGGTTTGGGGGTTTTCAGGACAAAATAATTCAGATTTGTTACTCTGAACACTCCTGGCCTTTTCTTCCTGCCCTCATTCCCACCACATGAAATGATCCTCTCCCCTCCATGTCTGCCGGGTTTTTTCAAACAACTTCATTTTAATGATGAGTAAAAGAAACTGTGGAGTTTTCTGCCATTCCTGGCTCAATCAGAACAGGGTGAGGGGGAAATTAAAGCAGTGAGAAGATGCAGATCCAAATGAGGAGCTCACTGTGATTATTGTGGGCAGAAAGCAGCCAGTGCAGCACACCAGGGCTGTGTAATTGTGCTAATTAAGAATGAAATCAGGGCTTTGAGGGTTTGTAGAGCCTTGGGTGTTCTGGTTCCTCCGGGGGGTGATTTCAAACACATTGGCAGAAAATACAGCAAACAGGCAGAGCAGAAAGAGGGAGAAAACCCAATATGGTTTAATTTAGGGAAACAGCTTTGCAGTGTGTTGGAAGGAGTCTGCTCCCAGAAGGTGACAGTGCCTGGGTCCCTGCAGTGCCCAAGGGACAGGGAAGGTGTCCCTGCCATGGCAGGGGTGGCACTGGGTGGGATTTAAAGGATTTTATGATTTTCTGTGAAAATCCAGTAGCTGGACAGGGAAGGTGTCCCTGCCATGG